CAGGGTCCTGGGATGGAGCCCCTCATCAAACCCCGCATGGAGCCCCACATCGGGCTCCCTGCTCTGCAGGAAGCCTGCTTCTCCCTCTCCCACTCCCCCTGCTTGTGTTCCCTCTCTCGCTGTGTCTCTCTGTGTCAAATAAATAATAAATAAAATCTTTAAAAAAAAAGAAAGAAAACCAAAGGGATTATATTCAGGAAAACCATAGAACTGTAGGGAATGAAGAACCCACTCTTAAAGTTTGTGTATGGTCTCACTCACCTCAGGACTCAGCCTAAACAGCAGCAGGAAAAGTGTCTAGGACATATGCGAAGGACACCCACTTACTAATCTTTGTTTTGTTTTGCTCTGTTTTTAACTCTAGGAGAGTTAACATACAGTATTATATTAGTTTAAGGTGTACAATATAGTGATTCAACAATTCTGTACATTACTCTATGCTAGTCAGGATAAGTATGCTCTTAATCCCCTTCACCAGCTTCACCCATCCCCCTACCCACCTGCCCTCTGGTAACCCCCAGTTTGCTCTCTGTAGTTCTGAGCCTGTTTTTTGGTTTATCTCTTTTTCTCCTGTCCATTTGTTTTGTTTCTTAAATTCCACATATAAGTGAAATCATATGCTATTTGTCTTTCCCTGACTGATATTTCACTTAACATTATACTCTCTTGATCCATCTGTGTTGTTGCAAATGGCAAGATTTCATTCTTTTATATGGCTGAGTAACATCCCATTGTATAAATATACCACATCTGCTGAACTTATTCATCTATCGATGGACACGTGGTCTACTTTCATAATTTGACTACTGTAAATAACACTGCAATAAACACAGGGGTATATATATCTTTTTGAATTAGTGTTTTCATAATCTTTGGGTAAATACCAAGTAACGGAATCGCTGGATCATATGGTAGTTCTATTTTTAATTTTCTGAGGCAACTCCATACTGTTTTCCACAGTGGCTGCACTGGTTTGCATTCCCACTGCAGTGCTGGAGGGTTCCTTCTGCTCCACGTCCTCACCAACATCTGTTGTTTCTTGTGTTGTTGATGTTAGCCATTCTGACAGGTGGGAGGCGGTATCTCATTGTGGTTCTGATTTGCATTTCCCTGATGCCGAGCGATGTTGAGCACCTTTTCATGTGTCTGTTGGCCATCTGGATGTCTTCTTTGGAAACATATCTGTTCATGTTTTCTGTCCATTTTTTAATTGGAATATTGGTTTTCAGGGCATTGAATTGTGTAAGTTATTTGTATATTTTGGTTACCAACCCTTTATTGGATATATCATTTGCAAATATCTTCTCCCATTCCATAAGTTGCTTTTTAGTTTCGTTGTTTCCTTCCCTGTGCAGAAGCTTTTAAGTTTGAGGTAGCCCCAATAGTTTTTTTTTTTACTTTTCATTCCCTTGCCTCAAGAGACATACCTAGAAAAATGTTGCTGTGCCCAGTGTCAGAGAAATTACGGCCTGTGTTCTCTTCTAGGATTTTTATGGTTTCAGGCCTCACATTGAGGTCTTTAATTGATTTTGAGTTCATTTTTGTGTATGGTGTTAGAAGATGGTCCAGTTTCATTCTTATTATACATTGCCGTCCAGTTTTCCCAACACCATTTGTTGAAGAGACTGTCTTTTCCCCATCGCATATTCTTTCCTGCTTTGTTAAAGATTAATTGACCATATAATTGTGGGTTTATTTCTGGATTTTCTACTCTGTTCTATTTAACTCTGCCAATTCCATACCATTTTGATGACTACAGGACTCTGAGATATGATCCTTCTACAGCTTTGTAATATAACTTGAAGTCTGGAATGTGATGCCTCCAGCTTTGCTTTTGTTTTTCAAGATTGCTTTGGCTATTTAGGCTCTTGTGGTTCCATACAAATTATTAGGATTGATTGTTCTAGCTCTGTGAAAAATGCTGTTGGTACTTTGATAGGGATTGCATTAAATATGTAGATTGCTTTGGGTAGGTTAGACATTTTAGCAGTATTTATTTATTTTTATTATGTTATGTTAATCACCATACATTACATCATTAGCTTTTGATGTAGTGTTCCATGATTCATTGTTTGCATATAACACCCAGTGCGGCATGCAGAACGTGCCCTCTTTAATACCCATCACCGGGCTAACCCATCCTCCCACCCCCCTCCTCTCTAGAACCCTCAGTTTGTTTTTCAGAGTCCATCGTCTCTCATAGTTTGTCTCGCCCTCCGATTTCCTCCCCTTCATTTTTCCCCTCCTGCTATCTTCTTCTTCTTTTTTTTTAAACATATAATGTATTATTTGCTTCAGGTTTAGCAGTGTTTTTGCTTCCAACCCATGAGCATAGATTGTCTTTCCATTTCTTTGTGCCATCTTCAATTTCTTTCATCAGTGTTTTATAGTTTTTGGAGTACAGGTCTTTCACCTCTTTGGTTAAGTACTTTATTATTTTGGGTGCAATTTTAAATGTGATTGTTTTTTAATTTCTTCTATTGCTGCTTCAATATTGGAGTATAGAAATGCAAGAAATTTCTGCACATTGACTTTCTATCCTGTGACATTACTAAATACATTCATCAGTTCTAGTGGTTTTTTGGTGGAGTCTTGTGTTTCCTATATACGGTATCATGTCATCTGCAAATAGTGAAAGTTTTCGTTCTTCCTTACCTATTTGAATGCTTTTTATTCCTTTTTCTTATCTGACTGCTGTTGCTAGGAAGTCCAGTACTATCTGGAATAAAGGTGGTGAGAGTGGACATCCTTATCTTGTTCCTGATCTTAGGGGGAAAGCTCTCAGTTTTTCCCCATCAAGGATGATGTTAGCTGTGGGTTTTTCATATACAACCATAATAAATAATAATGTTGAGATATGATCCTTCTAAAACAACTTTGTTGAGGGTTTTTATCATGAATATATGTTGTATTTTGTCAAATGCTTTTTCTGCATCCACTGTAATGATTATATGGTTCTTATCATTTTTCTGATTGATGTGATGTATCACATTGATTGATATGCAAATATTGAATCACCCTTGATACCCAGGAACAAATCCCAGTTATGGTAGTTAATCATTTTTTGGATGTACTGTTAAATTTCATTTCTACAGGAGTGCAAGAACGTCTGAGCTGCTCTGGGCCCTAGGGATCTGAAGCCTCTGAGGTTGGGGCGCTAACCCTCACCTGCCCAGAGCCTGTCCCTGCAGCATTTGGCTGCACTGCCCCCAGATCTAACCCTGCTGGGGATCTGGAATCTCTGGCTTCCAGCCTTCTGGCAGTTTTTGCTTCTGGTGCCAGGCCTGGTGGAGCAGGTTTTCTGGTGCTCCTGGTTTGTGTCCCTGGGCCCTGAACTTAGGGGACTTCAGTGGTCACCAGCTAAGCTCATGTCCTGCTCATGATGGGTTGTCTCTTCTCAGCATGAAGGGGCGTGGCCAACAGTTTCCTTCAGATTGTATTTTTGGCCTTGATTCTCAGCTGCGGTGCTGAGCCCTCCACTGCGAGGGCCACAGCGAGGTGGGCAGAGTCACGGCCATGGGGACAGTGTGTCCAGCTGCTTCAGGCCAGGTTTGCCTTTCTGCTGGGGAGCTCTGCAGATGCATGGGGTTCAGTCTGGCTGACTAAAGCCCAGGGAAGGCCCAGAGGTCTGGGAGGGATTTGGTAAGTGTTGCAGGGCCCATGTCTTCTACCCAGTGGTACAGGGGCGGGGGGTAGGGGGACTGTTGCCACCACAGCTCAAGGCCCCTTCTCCCATCTCCTCATCTCCCCTCAGGAACTCCTATGCCCCCCCTCCCTGCCATTCTCTTTCCTTTCTCTGATCCCCTTCTTGGACCTCACCACCCCCATCTCACCTCTTCCCCTCATGGACCATTGCCCACAAGGAGCCCTCTGGCCAGGACTCTTCGCGCCCCCACTTTTCCCAACTCTAACTTTCTGAGAGGGCCCTTTGCCCAGAGGGTCTCCCTCCCACTGCCCTCCTGCCCTCAGCAAGGGGAGCCCTGCAGCAGGGTGCTCAGCTCCTTGTGTATAGACTTGTCCTCTGTCTTGGCAGATCCTCCCCCTCCTTCCCCTCCAATGCAGGCACCTGCCCTGGGCCCGCCTTCATCCTGGGCCATCACCCAGCACCACCCTGTCCCCACTCCTTCAGCCTACCTTCACCCTCTTGTGACCTCCACTCTCCCTGTGGGCTGGACTCCGGGTCTCCCTGGTCCCTCTGCACCCCTCCTCCAGGGCCCCTTGCCTGCCTGCACCCTTGCCCACTTGCCTGGCCCTCACCAAGCTCTCCTCTCTCAGGAGCTCCTCTCATGGGCCCCTTGCAGTCAGCACGCCTCCTCCAGGCTCTCAGCCCACACCCCCTCCTCTCCTGTCAGCCTGTAATTAAGTTTTTTCAGGGCACCCAGTCTCCCATTCCCAGGCCCTCAGCACTACTCTCCCCTGCTGCCTCTTGCCGTCTCCCCCACCAACCAGAAAACTGCTCCAGGTCCAACTGTCCAGATCCTTGGCCCTCATCCCTCCTTTGGTTCCTTGACCCCAGTGGGCCTCACTCCTGACAACTAGTCCCCAAACTGGTTGCTCCTGCTACATGGTTAGCACCTGCCTTTCGCTCCAGCCAGCCTTCCCCCAAGCCTGCCCGACCTCTGCTGGATGACACCCTTAACCCTTTGGGGGTCTGACCTGCCCCCACTCCCAGAACCACCCCCACCATGCAGGTCCTTCCCCAAGGTGTGCACCATGGCATTTTGGTTCTATTTTCTCTTCCATTCCCCCTCCTTTCTTTTTCTTCTTTTTTAAAAAGATTTTATTTATTTATTTGACAGAGAGAGACACAGCAAGAGAGGGAACACAAGCATGGGGAGTGGAAGAGGGAGAAGCAGACTTCCCGAGGAGCAGGGAGCCCGATGCGGAGCTCGAT